GGAGAAGGTCAGGAGCAAGAGGCACTTGGACTTCCTGGACATCCTCCTCTTTGCCAGAGTGAGTGTGAGCAGGGGAGGCATGAGGCTTTGCCCACAAGCTTGGAGGGAGGGGCAAACTCTGACATGTCACCATTTCCTCTCAGACGGAGGACGGCAGCAGATTGACTGACAAGGACATCCGCGCTGAAGTGGACACGTTCATGTTTGAGGGCCATGACACCACAGCCAGTGGCATCTCCTGGATCCTCTATGCCCTGGCCACACACCCTGAGCATCAGCAGAGGTGCCGGGAGGAGGTCCAGAGTCTCCTGGGGGATGGTACCCACATTACCTGGTGAGTGCTCACGAGATGGGATTGCCCAGCCCACTCAACTGGAGAATTTCCTGCTTGGCAGAGTCTTGCCTGTCCTTCAGGGTAGCTTCGTTTCAGGGACCACCTAGACAAGATGCCCTACACCACCATGTGCATCAAGGAAGCACTGCGACTCTACCCACCAGTTCCAGGCATTGGCAGAGAGCTCAACAAGCCCATCACTTTCCCTGATGGACGTTCCTTACCCAAAGGTATGAAGGTCACCACACTCACACAGCAACACTCTGCAGGAACACATGGGACGTCAGTGGTCCACATGTCATGTGGCATTTCTCAATCACTCTGGTCATCTTTCATCCATAAATGGACACTTACTCTCTGGTTTGGATGAGGAGAGAAAATGCCTGACACAGAGCCAGAGCACTGCCAAAGTGTCATAAAGGTTACTTCCCCTTCCTATCTATGGAGAATATATTCTATTTCGGTTCATTCTCCCAAATAACCTGTAAGGTGCATCTCAATTCTAAGATCTCAAAAGAACAGAATCCTAAGTTTCCAAACTTATCCAACAAAAACATTCTATTACCATGAGATCCCATTGTTTTGTGACGCTACAGCATTCCCACTGAAGGCACTGACATTCTCTGATTTAAAACTGCATACTCCAGTTCCTGACTCCAAGTCTAAACTCATGGACCAATTCTGTCTTCACTGTCGTATCTATTTGAATATCCTGAAGATCTGACATAACATTTGGATAACCCCTTTGTGACAAATGCAAACAGCTATATACATATCAGTTAAAATAAAAACGACTCAATACATTGCATCTTCTCTAAAAGGAGCTGTTGACTTCAGCAAGGGGCTTCAAAATTAGCATAAACTTCTAATATCCAGAGATTTGATGGCTGGAGAGAAAATCCCTCTGGGCCAGACAGAGCTGTTTTTCATTCCCTGTGGGGTCGAGTCATTGAAGCAGATCAGGGAATCCACTGTCATTATTTTGACAGTCCAGTCAGTGGGGGGCCCTCAGATTGGTGGCAGAGAGTACCTGATGACCAGATCTGAGAATCCAGCCATGGTTGGAGGCCACCGTTGGCTCACCTCTGATCTGAACTCCAGGCCTGCCACATCCTAGCTGTGTGGATATAGGCAAGGAGCTTAGCCTCTCTGAGGCTCTAGGTGCCTGATATGGACAATGGGGACATGAGTGCCTTCACTGGAGGGTTGTTGTGAGGATTGAATGAGTTCATGCATATTACCCAAGGGCCTATGGATGCTACTTGATAAATGTGAGTTTTCTGTCACTTGAGTTGTTCCAAAAAGTAAGCCTCCTGTTCTTTCCTACTTCTCAGCCCAGGCATGGTTCTCTAGTAATGAGTGTACAGGTGCTTTCCTTGTCCACCCCATCTCTCTTGCAACACAGTCATTCCACTCACAATGATGAGCAGTGGCTTTCACTGTGGCTTCCAGGCTGTTTGTGCATGCACATGACTCCTCGTGGCGTGGATATGATCCGTCTTCTCTCTTCTCTCCCACAGGATTCCAGGTGTTCCTCTCCATTTATGCCCTTCACCACAACCCGAATGTGTGGCCAAACCCAGAGGTATGATGGCTTGGGAGGAGGGGATGGGATGAGATCTCCAGACCAACCCATTCTCCTGTCCTACCTCTGGGTAGTCTGTCTGGTGGTTGGTTAAATTGGACGGAGGGGCTTGATTATACCTGTCCTGGCCCTGGTGCTCCCTCTGCAGGTGTTTGACCCTTCACGGTTTGCACCGGGTTCTGCCCGACACAGCCATGCTTTCTTGCCCTTCTCAGGAGGAGCAAGGTGAGTTATTTGTAACAGGATGGGAGTGGGTGACTGCTTGCTGGGTACATATCCAATACTTGTGACTTCCTATTGTATACGGGTGTCTGTAGATATGCCTTTGCTTGTCTCTGTGCTGGGAAAGAGGTATGTGCCTTTCTGTACAAAAGAAAGCTGGGAAGCATGGCACGACCTGGAGACATTGACCCATTTCTCTTCCCCAATCTCCAGCCACACTTCAGTGTTGGTGGCTGCTCCAAAATTCAGTGCATTCTAGTATTTGATTCACTGTATGAGTATGACTTTGCACAAGAGATTTTCTCACATGTTAATTTTCAAGTATTATCGATTTCAAAATCTGGACGGAATCTGATAGATTCTTTCATACACATTCTCAAACCAGCCATTCTTTCCCCGAACTGCACCACTGAATTCTTTGCATGTGTTTCCATTCTCAGCTGCCTTGCATATCTCAAACATTTATGTCATACATGAGGATGGTTACTGTGGCCTCTTAAGGGATTAATGAAGTATTCAACTAATTTGTGTCACTATTATGTTTGCATCTATCCAAAAGAATTTTTGAGTCCATGGTAATGGTCACATGTACTTGACATTTTTCCCAGTTGTCAAATCAGTCCATATGATCTGGGCTCTATACACATTAATATTATACTTAGAGTCCAATTGCATAAGTGGGCAAATAGATGCAAGAAAGACATTAAACTGTTTTTGAGAGAAAAGCCACTGTTTTATACATGACACATGGTATTTGAAAGTTTCCTGGAGTATAAAACATAAAGCAGACTTGAAGTGACTGTGGAGCTGGATGACTATTCTCCAGAGTGGCTGCTGTGAAATCCTCCAGTGCTGCTGAAATGGTCCTCTAATTAGTAAATTCCTTAAATCTTGTAAGTAGTTACTAAAAACGAGTTCTTTTCTTCAAACACTAAATCCACTTTCACAGAATAGGCTTTAAGCAAACTATTCTTCCAGATACTGGCTGTAGGATTTGAGCCTTAGACACTGGTGCGTGTCGTGTGGCTGCCAGTGAGGACAGGAGAGGGCCAGAGAGATCCATTTCTAGCTCAGACCTAATGGCTACCATATTTCATTCCATTCAGGTTTTTTTTTTTTTAGTTCAATAAACTTCATGCAATTCTAAGACTACTCTTTAAGCCTGTCTCTGTGTGCTACGTCTTATGTTAGGAGGTGGAACGCAGAAGAAAATACTGCCCTTGCCGCCAAGAGTTCACAGCCATAAATGCTCCCACTCAAAGAGACATCATCATTCATTCATTCATTCACTCCATAATTTACTAATTGAACACACTGTAGGACATTCCACGTTCCTGACACTGTCCTGTTCTGGAAAGTGATGTGTCCCTGAGTAAAAAATACTAGTGTGACTTCAGGATCCGGGCATGAAGAGGTACAGCCAGTAGAGAGGGTGAGCGTGGGCTGTCATTAGCCTTGAGCACGAGGCAAGCAGAGGTGGAGGGAGCGTATTCTCAGGGATCACATCAGCAGGAGCTCAGTGGGGAGGCAGAGCTGGACAGGTGATAGGTGAGTGAGGGAACAAGCCAAAGAGGGCTTTAATGCCAGCTGAGGCATGTGGACATGCCCCTAGCTGTGATGGAGGGCCTGGGAGAGTCTGAGCTGGGCGGGGCTTCAGGGGAGGAAGGGGAGGCAGGAGACAGAGAAGCCTGGGTGAGGAGATTGAGGGATGGCCAACAGGGACATTTCTGCAGTAGACTTGGAATCTACAGAAACTGGTTGACAGAAGGGTTGAGGGGAGCACAGGAGTCTGGACCCAAACTGGGAAGGAGATGGTGTAGCAGATTGAGCATCGTTACGGCCTTGCCCATTTGGATGTCTCTCTGATTCCATTCTGTTTTCCTTACACAATTCCACCTTGTCCTTTCTCTGAGGATCTGGGTCCCTTTGTCCCCCCATATGGTTAGGGCCTAAAGTGGCCCAGCTGGCCCCTATAGTACCCTGTACTGTCTTCTCATTTTTGAAATCAGTAATGGCTTATAGAGACAGCAAACACTCTGATGATTAACTGTTGTAGTGATCACTTGACTTGGCTGTGTGCCTCTCGAGCTGACCCTCTTATAAGAGGACTTCAGGCCTGCCGACAGCAGAGGTAGAAGGAACTAGCCCTGGAAGATTGTAGGCTTTGTCAAAGGTCAGGGGCAGAGTGTGAAGCAAGGCTTGGGTCGAAATGTGTGTGGGTGTCCGGGAAGGAAAGGGATCGGGGCCGGACCCATGCAGGAAGGCCCTGCATGTGCTGTTCCCAGCAAGGGGATTGAGGCCACTTCTCATTTCCTTTTCCCTCCCTGACCCAGGAACTGCATCGGGAAGCAGTTTGCCATGAGCGAGATGAAGGTGGCGGTGGCCCTGACCCTGCTCCGCTTTGAGCTGGCGCCAGATCCTTCCAGGGTCCCTGTTCCCTGGCCAAGAATTGTGTTGAGGTCCAAGAATGGGATCCACCTGCATCTCAGGAAGCTCCTCTAAAATCTGTGCAGACAAGCATGAGCCCGAGAACCTCCTGCCTGCCATCCTGTCTTCCTGTCTGTGTCTCCCGTCCCCTGTCTTCTGCCTCCCTCACAACCTCCATGATCTCCCCCTCTTTCCCATCAGACTGTCTGCCCTTCTCGGTCTCACCCTTTTCCAAGACTCCTACTAGTTTTCTGTTACCCTCCTCCTACTTGGCTGTAGCCCTGACTGGGCGTGTAACTCTCGATTACGCACCTGTCCTCTAGCCTGTCTGGCCTCTCTTGTCGTTATTCTTCCTGTGCGCTGGTCTGTCCTGTACTGTTTTGTCTTGCTGGTTTCCCAAATGACACAAACTTAGTCCCTTAAGGGACTGGGGCCAGACTGCCTGGCTTTGAACACTGGCTGTCCCTCTTACCAGTATATTGACCCTGGAAAGGCAACTAAGCTCTGGGTGCCTTGGTGTTCTCATTCAGATTTTGAGATTTATTTGAAAAAATCTGTTTCGGGTTGGAGCACCTGGGTTGCTCAGTTGGTTAAGCATCCGACTTCGGCTCAGGTCATGATCTCATGGTTCATGAGTTGGAAGTCCACATTGGGCTCTTTACTGTCAGAGCAGATCACACTTCCAATTCTGTCTCCCACTCTCTCTGCCTTTCTCCCAATTGGCTTTCTCTCTCTCTCTCTCTCTCAAAAATAAATACACATTTAAAAAAATCTGTGTTAGAATGGTTGTGGATAAAATATATAATATTTTTTGCTCAGTGCCTAGAACATAGTAAGCAGTCAGTAAATGTTAGCTGTTTACAAGTATATGCGCCCAACTATATAGAGGAAATCGAGGATTCAGGGAGGAAAAGACAGACTGACACACAGCATTCCACTCCAAGTACCCACTTCCAACCTCCCTCCACAGGTTGTCCAGGTGTGCTAGGTACAAAACTGGTGCTGGGCCAAGTAAGGGAAGGAGTAGGGTCCAAATTCAGTGGGCCGGGATCAGAGAGAGATGGGAAGTAAACAGAGAACTGGGGCAAGGTTGAGAGGAATGAGTAAAGTGGTTACGTACCCCTGGGTTTGGACAGAAGCCCCGATTTAGGGGGAGAGGAATTCCAGTGCTGTGGGTTGTGTAATGAATCTCCTAGCATGAAGTTGGGCAAAAGAGAAGGACTTTGGGGTTACAGTGAGATGGGTGAGGAACAGGGCAGAAGGAAAAGGGGACCCATGGAAGGTGCCTTCTAAAGAAATCCTCATGAAGATATTTTGTTTGTATTTTTCCGAATTTTGGGCCTAAAATTGACTTTGGAGAAGAGAAGCAGGAACAAGTAAGAGATTAAATTGTCCTCATCAGAAATGCTTTCTTGCATAGGCTCTCCATGAGCCCTTAGCGCCCATCCTCTTCTCTAGCACTCCACCTGGTGAACTCCTATTCACCCTTGAAGGTCCCATCCTCCTGTTTTGTTTTCTCTTTCCCTGGTAGGGCCTGGCCCACACTTCACTCTTTCAGTACAGGCTTTATTGTGTTTTCCTGTAAGGTTAGTTCTCTGCCTTTGCCTAGCAGATAGTGAGCTCAAGAACATTGGCTGAGTGCATGAGTGACTGCATGAATATGCATTCCTGGGAGGAACTTGGGAAAGGGATGATTACCCAACCTTACAGAAAGAGAAACTGAGGTTCCGGAAGTCAATGTCATTGGCTTCCTAAGTCATGAGTGTGCCCTGGGGCTGGAGATCTGAGTCTCTGGCAGGTGCTCTGTCTGCTGGCCCATTCGGCCCCAGGCAAAACTAGTGAGTGGATAGTGACAAGCATGGGGAACATTGCTGAGGCAGCTGAGGCAGGTGGTCGGGAGAACCCCTGATTCTAACCCCAGCTGGCACTCTCAGTGGCAGTTCTCCTGTGGCCACATCACACAAGCTCCCTGTAAGACTTTTGCTTTCTGAAAAGGGATAATATTCCCAGCAAGCACATGTTCTCAACTTTATAACTGAACCGTGGTCTTCTATCAGTTTGTTTGCAGGGCTCTTGTCTGTTTGCAGCCAGCCATGTTGTGGCACTAAGTACAGCTGGCACTTAGCAGGTGCTCCTGAAATATTGAATGAATAATAGGGAGAAGGCCAAGTGGGAGTTTGCTGAGTGCTGTCTGCAGAGAAAGCTTTCTTGCCACTGGTTCCCAAGAGGGATCCTCACAGTTAATGAACACTGGAGGCCCAGTCTAACCTCTGCCCCCTCCATTTACCCTCCCTCCAGGTGGGCAGGGCAATCCTACTTGGACTGACAAGGCTGGGGTGCTCAGGGGAGGTCAGCCACAGTCAGGGACAGTCAGAGGATTCAGCTGTCCCTGCACCATGAGTGTCTCTGTACTGAGCCTCACCAGACCCTTGGGCAGTGTCTCCGGACTCCTGCAAGTGGCCTCTCTGCTAGGCCTGGCTCTGCTGTTGCTCAAGGCAGCACAGCTCTACCTGCACAGGCAGTGGCTGCTCAAAGCAGTCCAGCACTTCCCGTCCCCTCCTTCCCACTGGCTCTTCGGGGACATCCAGGAGGTAGGAAGCGGCTGGACGGGGGTTGGGAGGACAGAGCAGGCCTGGATTCTCAGAGCATCCGCTTGGTCAGCAGATATATCCCACACAGGCTTCTTGGGTGACAGCACGTGGGTCTAGCTTACCTCTCAGACCTCAGTGCCCCAAGCCAGCCCTGGAGCTCAGCCCCTCCAAGGAAGCCTGTGCTAGTGCCCTCAGGCCAGTCTGACCCTCTTTCCTTAGGCAGATCCGCAGGCTGTTTTGTAGCTTAGCCCTTTGAGGACAATGGCTGCTCCTTCCTGAGTCTTCCCCTTCAGGCTGAGCAACCCTGCCTCTTCTCTCACAACAGGCTTCCTGATGCTTCCCTGCCCAGCCACTCAACCCCAGCCTCTCAGCTTGGCCCTGAGATGCCTGGGACTCAGACCATAGACAGGAATCTCAGAAGGTGCAGATTACAGGAAAACAGGGTCAACCGCTGGACCGGGGATCACGTCAGGTGTAGGGAACAACCAGGTTGGGTGCCTGAGACTGTGGATGTTCCAGACTGGTGGTGTCAGTGCTACAACCCTGAAAAGTCACTGGCACACAGGAGAAGGTTCCCAGGATGGGGCAGGTAAAGAGCATTCACACTGAGCTCCACCATTAACAGAATCTGTTTCCACATCAGCTCTCATTCCCCAAACCCGGCACCATGTAATCCATGGGCTGAGGATGTCACCTCCTTCCAGTACCCTGGTGGCCAGCGCAGAGCTGACCCCAAGGGATGCTTGACTCAGGTTGTGCAGTGACAGAGGAAGGAGCAGCTTGGGGTGACTGGGTGGGAGACAGCACCTACCCAGCCAGTTCTGTCAGCACTGGTCCCCGAGGGAGGGTTACAGGAAGGGGGGCACTTGGAGAGGGGCTCACTAGTGGGGTGTGGATTGAACAAGCCTAGGAGGTGGGGTGTTGCAGAGAGCGGAGACCGGTCTCTTCTCAGAGAAAGAGGCAGAGCGATTTCAACCGAGTGGCTCCAGAGATGGAAACTTCATGTCAGCCACAGGGAGACAGCCAGAGCCCAGTTCCTTCCTGCACATTGTTGCACTAATGACTTCCAGATTATTTGTCCAGTTGGAGAAATTGGGACCTTTTGTTAGATGCAGTTGTCACCTTCCCGAGCTGGGATTTGACATAAGGAACTAAAAAACTTCCTCCAGTGACTTTCCCATTAACTGACTGTATGTAGACTCTGTAAGCAGACAGGTTCTGCTACATAACGAATATTACTCCCGGTGCCCAATCATCTCTCATCGGCTGCTGACCTATCAGACATTGTAGCCAAATATTTCTTGTTTTTATAATTCTATCTGAAACCTTCCTTTATTCAATTCCTCTGGAATTGGCTAAGTCAGGAGTTAGAATGCCACCTGAGGTGAGTTAAAGCTAACCTTCAGGCAAGGTGACAAGTCACAATGGGGACAGGGAAGCATGTGGTCTCTGAGCCAAGCTCCGTAGATTTTATCCTAGCTCTGCCACATACTCTATGCCTCTGTTTCCTCCTCTGTAAAGTGGGGATGATGCTGCTGATGATTAAGTCTCAAGCAAGTCATTCTAATCTGCATAATTGATAAAAATTGAAAATAATGTAATGCCTACGAAGGACAAGCAAGCTGTGGGTCCACAAACTCGCTGCACTACCTAGGGGTGAAATCCACCAGGAACTATGAAAGGGGAACTGCAGGGTGGGAAAGAGGTGAGTCAACAGCCCCATCTTTCCTCCCGTCTCAGCATAACTGCTAGTAGCAGAGCTCACAACACCTGACCATTGTCTGTGCTGCCCCTTTAGTTTCTGTCCTCCTTCTGTCCTTGTGCCTCCTTTGGGGGATATTTTTTGTGGCTGCAGCTTTAGTGGAACATAGCCTGCATTGAGTGGTCGCAGGCTGAAGGCCAGTGGACATTGGGTATTTACCGACAGAGTAACTGCCACTGCCACCTTGGGCAATGTCTCTTCTACAAGATTGTCACCTGGCCCTGGCCAGACCTGCTCAGGGACAGATCGCAGCCCCACGTGTTTGTCCAGACAGCTGACAGATCAGTGGCCCTCAGAATGGCCCAGAGAGGGGAATAGCCGGGCTATTTGGCTCCTTGGGTCCCCTGGAGGAGGAGAGCATGTGATCAGAATAGAGGCATTACACTGGGCTGAAACAGGACCCAAGGCCCCTGCTGTGCAGGTTGAGGGCATCGTGGTGGACAAAGTAACATAGCTTTGTGGTAAGAGGTTCCCACTGGATGGTCACTGCACTGGATCTAAGGAGAAGGGTAACCCATGATGGCCATGACCTGGGAGCACAGAGCAGGCCCCTTAAGTAATTGAAGGACACTTCAGACTCTAAGGCCTGATTCTCTTCCCTGACTCCACTCCCACACTAGAACATAAGTTCACTGAATGTGGAATCTAGATCAGAACCTGTCTCATCAGAAACAGTTCCAAATTCTTAAGCACTGTGGATAGCTAGAACTATCACCCTGTGGCCATCCTACCTTCCACCACCACTCTAAGCAGTGCACCTGACGAGGAAGGTTTTATTGACTTGTCTTTCCCTCGGTTACAGTTCCAAGATGGCCAAGAGCTACAAAACCTTCAGAAAAGGGCAGAGAAATACCCGTGCGCCAGTCCTCGCTGGCTGTGGGGAAGCAAAGTTACCCTTGAAGTCTATGACCCGGACTACATGAAGGTGATCCTGGGGCGATCAGGTGAGAACTATCCCACATGTCTTCTGCTATGGCTTTTCCCTCTTGGGTGCATTCTTTGGGGACTATGAAATTCTGGAAGAGAGTTATGGCTCAGCCTTCAGTACCCTCCAGCAACCATCCTTCTAGTGCACAAGCCAGCATAAGGCCAAATATAGATACTTAGATGGAATGCTTAAACAGCTGTGAGGGATTACATTTTTCATTTTCTTTCTTTCTTTCTTTCTTCTTTCTTTTCTTTTCTTTTTTCTGTCTCCCTTATTTCTGTTCTTGCCTTCCTTCCCTTCCTTCCCTCCACCTTTCTTTCTTTTCTTTTCTCTTTTCTTTTCCTTCCTTCCTTTTCTTCCTTCCTTCCTTCCTTCCTTCCTTCCTTCCTTCCTTCCTTCCTTCACCAAACTTATATGATCCCAGATCTTGAAGACAATTTGCTATCCCTGATGGCTGGGATTTGGAACCCTATCTGTTGCCCATGCTATGTCATGGAAATCCTGGGTCATCCTTAAAAAATACACACCAGCTACTGTCTTTTCAGTGGCACTGAGGACAGCAATTATATTTCTTGCTGATTCAAAATCCTCGTTGGGGCTATGCTATAGACACCGAGTCTGTCATCATGAGCCTACAGTGACTATCAGGAAAGAAACAAGATTCATGGTTGGGAGGCAAGTGGGAAGTGGATGGAAACAAACTGCCAGCTTACAGTCCTCAGGAAGGGATGGAGGCCAATGGCCTGGACCACAGCTGCCTCCTCAGTTCCCTCCAGTTCCCTGTAATGCCCCTTGTACTTTTCAGACCCAAAGCGTCGTGACTCCTCCAGATTCCTGGCTCCCTGGATAGGTAAGTATATGGAATCAGGACCACAGTCCACCTTCTGGTTAGGCTTGCCAAAAACTATCCATTCGGCCCAGATTAAACAAGAGGTGACCAGAACCACAGTCACACCCTCATCGCTGAATGGAGCTCCATCCTCTCCATTCTCTTCTTTTTATCTTTCTTTTTTAAGGGCTTTTTATTTAATATATTTTTTAATTTAAATCTATGTTTGTTAGCATATAGTGCAACAATGATTTCAGGTAGAATCCTTAATGCCCCTTACCATTTAGCCCATCCCTCCTCCCACAACCCCTCCAGTAACCCTCTGTTTGTTCTCCATATTTAAGAGTCTCTTAGGCTTTTGTCCCCCTCCCTGTTTTTATATTATTTTTGCTTCCCTTCCCTTATGTTCATCTGTTTCGTATCTTAAACTCCTCATATGTCCATTCTCTCCTTTGATGAAACACTTCCTAATGGTGGGGAGAGCCCTCCTGCAGCTCAGCCTCTTCCACAACACTTCACAGTCCTCGGAAATGATGTCAACCTCACTTTTCACCAAAGTCCTTCTAAGACTCGCACCCCACTCAGTTTCCATCTTGATCTCTCAGCTGTCATGACCACTTGCTGTGAACCAGCTCTTGGAAATTTACTTTCCCGACATGCACTGGCCTTCCCTGCCTCACCCAGGATGCCCTTCATCTCACACTCTGGGTTCCTGCCAAATACCCTGGACAACTCTTGGGAGATCCCTTCCAACACAGCCCCATTGTGGCCCAGGGTACGGTTTGCTCCTGTTGAATGGGCAGAGGTGGTTCCAGCACCGGCGGATGCTGACCCCAGCCTTCCACTATGACATCCTGAAGCCCTACATGCGGCTCATGGCCGACTCTGTCCATGTGATGCTGGTAAGTCCGTCCTACGCTCACCTGCACACTCACACCCACAGCATAGTTCACAGAGCCCACTCTCAGGCAGATGTGTCCTGGAGACATCAATCAGGCACCGCCCTAAAAATCATGCACTTATACCTTACTATGAGACCGGGTACCCCAACGAGGGAGGGAAAAGAAAGTACCCAGGCTTGCCTCCACTCTGTGCTCATTGCCCACAGAAGAGACAGTCATGGTGGATCCAGGGTCCCTTCTCCTCCCACTTTATGTCTTCGGCTTGGATAGGAAGAGCAGTCAATCCCCGTGGACAACAGGACAAGTGGCCCTGGCTGGCCTGGGCAGTAGCAGCTTCATTTACAGGTGAACACCCCAGGATGTCACTGAGGTGGGCACTAGCCTTGGGGCAAAAGCTTCTGCATAGATTTTCACCACTTCATGAAGGGAAGTGGAGACCGGATCTCAAAACCCAGGGCTGGATCATGCCCTCGTATCACTTCTGAGCAGGACCCTGTCTCACTAACTGTGATGAGCTGACATTTGTTGAACAGTCCCTGATACCTTTACTTAGGAATCCTGGTACTGACCCATTACTTTTCTCTTGCCTTGACACTTGCTACCTAGTGGGACTGCACCTTTTTTTTCTCGTGTCTAGATCAATCACAGGAGAGAGAAGATTCACCCCTTGTCCCCTTGGAAACATTGTTTTCCGGTCTGCTATGGTTATTAGCACCATAAATTGCTCCTAACTTGTAGGAGATAGTGATTATTTATGTAACAAAAGTTTTTGAGAAAAAACTCATCACACGGCGAACACATATTTGCTGTATGTTCCCAAATTGTTAAAACACATCTGGGGTATCTGCGAGGCTCAGTCGGTTAAACGTCTGACTTCAGCTCAGGTCATGATCTCACAGTTTGTGAGATCAAGCCCCATGTCGGGCTTTGTGCTGACAGCTTGGAGCCTGGACCAGCTTCTGACTCTGTCTCCCTCTCTCTCTGCACCTCCACTGTTCACACTCTGTCTCTATCTGTCTCAATAATAAACATTAAAAAAATGTTAAAACACATCCCCTTTAGAAGGTGAGGACATCTCATCAGAATATTTACAGAGAGCGGATGGGCCTTCTGGAGGAGTAGAGGATTAGTGTGTCCCTCCAACACAGGACAAGTGGGAGGACCTCATCAGACAGAACTCATATCTGGAGATTTTTGAGCATGTCTCCTTGATGACCTTGGACACCATTATGAAGTGTGCCTTCAGCTACCAGGGCAGCCAGCAAGCAGACAGGTCAGTGAAATCCTCAGTTTCTGGGTCCTATCTCCTATCATGCTGAGAGGTAAGTAGAGCAGTTGGGGTGTTTCCCAGCACAGACAGCCACATTCTGCAGAGCGTCCCAGACCACAGTCAAATTCAGCCCACAGCACACCTTCATTAGGCACAGATCCCAGGTCCCTGCCATATGGAAAAGCCTGGCTGCAATGTCCCTCACAAAGGGCTGAGGGTCTTGAGGGTATTAAGACAGAAAGTGCGAATGCCTCAAGTTGCCTGACCCACTGACTGAGGAACCCTCACTCACAGCCCCAAATCCACTTCAGGGCAGAAGTCTCCTTCCATCAAGGCCCTTCTGCATCCTCCCGATTTAGGATCTCCCAGTCCTACATCCAGGCCATTGAAGACCTGAGCAACCTGTTTTTTTCCCGAGTGAGGAATGCTTTCCACCAGAATGACATCATCTACAAGCTGACCCCTGAAGGCCGCTGGAACCACCGGGCCTGCCAGCTAGCCCATCAACACACAGGTTGGACTCTGACCCCTGGGTGGCTCCCTCCTTCACTGGACGCATCTCAAAGGGACAGGCACTGAACACTCAAGCAGAGCCCTATCCCCCCTTGAGCCACTTCAGGGGCTGGGACACACCTACCCTGGGTACCCCCCTGGTGCAGGTGTTAGGATGCCAGTGCTGTGCAGGAGCTGACACATGTCAGCACATGGGTGAAGGTTGGGTGAGACCCCCTGCCAGCAGCATTCAAGCAGAGTCTCTACAGGCTGTGCTGTTGAGAGGCGACCCAACTCACAAGCACATGGTGCCACAGCTCTCACCCTGACATGCACACCCATTACCACTTTCCTCCTGATCCAGCTGGAACCCAGGCTGGGATACAAGCAGCAAGTGGGCCAAGGGAGGTGGCTGTGTCTGGGAACTTAGAGCTCTCAGCTCTGCCTGGGAACACTGTTCTGGGACAGACGGAGTGATCAAGCTGAAGAAGGCTCAGCTGCAGGAGGAGGGAGAGCTGGAGAAGGTCAGGAGCAAGAGGCACTTGGACTTCCTGGACATCCTC